TTAGTTACATAATGCGGTGGAATATCTTTACTGGATTTAATAAACAAAATGAATGAGAAGAGGGTCCAATGGGGCCAGGGAAAGCGGTAAGTACCTTAGGGACGTGTGCGTCTTATGACACTCCTGGCAGTGGTAGTCCAGGATTTATCTGCTTCTCGAAAGCTGTTTATTTCTCCCTGTGCAGATCGCAATCACAAATACAAAATTTGGAAAGGAATTCGAATGCATGGCTCATCTCAACGAGCGTTAGGCATTAATCCTTATGAAGGTACAGAATATACCTGGAAGGGGCAAACGGCTGTTGGAAAATTATGTGTTTCTGCAGAGTAGGTGAGATGACGAAGACGACGCTGAATCTCCATTGAAGACGTCGTCGTCGGATCGGATGGGAACAAGAAGAGGGACGTCGTCAAAACCACGAATTGAGCTGCAATAATTTATTTCAGCAATCATCACTTTACAGCATTTTGAAGGACGGAACGGGGGAGTTTTAGAGAAAAAAAAAACGAAAACACTATGAGTGACTTATGATGAAGTGCGCAAAGGATGGGTCCAGGTAAACAGGTACAGTCCGTTTCCAGCCACTGGACTTGTCGTAATTGCGACCGTAGTCCTACATTTGACGGACTGCTCACTTCCAACGGAACAACTCGTTTCTTTTCTTTACGAATACGAAAGCATAGTTTAAAAAATTTTCTTGCAATCTGACGGTGTACAATAGCTGTTAAGAAAAAGCATTTAAACAAAGAGCATGATAAAGAAACGCTATATCGATTTTCCACCGTCCGTCATATTGGGTGTCATGTCTGCAATTACGGCAGGCCCTGCTGAGGGTAAGACTGTAGGATGGTAATTTTGGCAGCAAAAATGCTTAAGTTTATCTTACCTTGAATTATCAGAGAAGGCGATGATATTGTTCGCATTGGAGTGCTGTTGGGTGTCCCGTATTGAGTCCATCAACGATTCCTTAAGACCGTATCAGCTTTAGAAGCATCTTTATAAATTGACAAAGCAAAACCAAATTCTGTAAAGTAAGGGATTCGTTGTTGAGATTAGTCGCTCCCGAAGAATGGAACAATTTTTCAACTAATTGGCCTCTTGTTGGCCTTTAGGCTAGGGTAAGCGAGGAGTTGTGAGAAATTTCTAATGAAATCTCCTCCCAACAAATATAGCTCCTTCCATGCTTCATTCCGTCCATCGAAGATCGGGTTAATGGTTGCATTCCAAAATGCTTACCCTTACCCTTACCTTTTTGGAAACCAATATGATTACAGACCTTCCCAGGCCAAGCCCTCTAAAACGAGCTCCACTCAGAGCAGATAAAAAGTGACCCTTGAAAGCTACAACCCCGGATGAGGCGTTCCGAAGAATCTGTTTGTGGGTGGGACAGTGAAGCCCACGAGATTACATATGCGCCGCTCCTGCCGCTCGAAAATGGGGCAAACTTATGGACGAGATATTTCACGCACGATCCCGTGATGCTCAGCGTGGACCCCAG